AAAATCTCAATGACTAAAGGCGGATGGAATTTCACCGAGCTGATCGCATTTACAGACATCCTAGATCACAAGGTGTGGACTTCACGGAAACCTGATGTGCTGGGCAGTCAACAAAGCTACCGTACTGGGCCACCGCAAACCCGGGCGAGCTCAGACCGCGGCTTCGGCAACCGAGCAGTTCCCGTCACACAAACTCACAGAACGGCCACGCTGTCGTGAACAGTCCCGACCGGATACTAGGACCGTGATGATTGATCCCTTCCCTGAGCAGCTACCGTCCCTATCCCGGAAGAGAATTGACCAACCGAACGGCGTTGGAGGGGCCCATTCAGCCAGCACCGTGTGCATTTGCACGGCATTCCGGGCAGCTGCTCGAGCTTCCAGTGCTTGCGATGCGGTGAGATGAGTCGTTACATGCAGCCGGAGGGTAGCTATGCTGCAGGCATGCCCTGGTGCAATGGGCGGTGACCAGTAGCAAGCCCCGGAAACGAAGCCCGCCAATCATTGACCCCTGAGGCCCTGGACCGCAAAGATAATTTCCACCCCACGGTCTGCCGTCATGGAAGAGAAAGGCATGCACCGTCTCGGCGCGGTCATGGGGGTTACAGGGGGTGCGAGGGGTTGAGTTGGGAGACTGTGCGACGACGCGAGGGCACACCGGGTGTGTGATGAGGCTTGCGCTCAACATCTCATTGGATCTTCTGCGTTCACACGGCACTATCGATCAAACTGTGGCGGACCCGGTGGAAGGCTTCCATCGGGCCGAGGAAACGAAGAAAGCCATCAGGCTCTCGGGGCCAGATGTCGAGATGCGCTCTTGAACACCACAAGCGGCTTCGATCCCAGTCATCAACATCAGCTAAGGCTCAAACGCAGGCACGGTATCCTCTTTTCCTCGCGAACGAATGAACAGAGACCAAAACACGACATTTTTGCATACGGCCCGCCTTTTGGCATCACGTCCAAGTGATAGATCATGTCTCTGCGAAAGCGCCAGACTCTCCGCAATTGGCTGCACATCCGCGGCGGCACTGCGCAGCCAACAGGTCAGGTGAAAAGAGGGACTGAGGATATTTCACAGCGTTCTCGAGCGCCAGCGAAGGCTGCGTGTCAGACCGTCAGTGGATCAGGAGGCAGCTGTTTTTTTTTCATCTACGACGTGGATGCCCTACGGGAACTGTGACGAGATGCCCAAATCCAAAACGGGAGACCACTGCAACCGAGGTCTGCGCGGGAATCGTACCCACCGGCGAGGCATGATCGCAAGTCAAAGCGCCCAGCAGTTCCCTAGACGCCGGTTTCCTGCGTACATGGGACCCCGCAGAGACAGTCTCACCCCCTCTCAAGTCCGTCAACCAGAAAGAGGCCGTGATCTTCCATCCTCGGCTAGCGGCATCTGAGGTGGTGTGCTTGGTCTGCTCAACAATTGGTGACAACCAGTGAGCCTCGGCACGGTTCCCCAAAAAGTGCTCAAGTTGGTGATTTGGGTCCGATGATCAGGCAGCCACAGTGGTCTCTTGCAAGGAGGCCGTGTTGGTCAAGGCGACCCGACAGAAAGGATGCGTGCAAGGGTTGTTGTCCCTCATGTCGGGTGCCTTTCTCATCACTGAAGCCACAAACTCTTGCGAGGCCAGTGGCTGGCACGTTGGGACACACCGGAATCCTTCTGCATCGCCTGCCGGCCGGGGGCAGGGAGAGAGTTCCCTCAGCAAAAAGTTTGTAGACCGACACACACCTGGAGGGAGGGAGAAGCCGAGGGGGTTCGTACTAGCTGTCACACCGCAGCTGGCCTTGCATAGGGTCGACATCGCCCCCGATACGGCGAAGGGACGGCCAAACCAGAGATCTGATGTCGAACTCTCCTCCCGGTCGCACAATGCAGTGGTAGGCACACGGAGCATCGGGGGGGCAGCCCCGTCCAGTCGCATCTCTCCACCGCCCTGCTTGCATTATCTGAGCACAATCATTGGTCACTTCAAGATCGATGGTGTCTGCGACTGGGGACTTTTGTGGGCTGAATGGGTGCCCAGCTGCGGTCCCTCTTGGAGGGTTGTCGATGATGGGCTGAGACGAGAGCAATGTTTCTCCCAACCGGCGTTCGGTTCGAATTGCTGCCGCCGCAAGCTTGAGGTTACACGTCCTGTCCCGGGTCGACTCCGCGACAAGTAAGCTTATCGCGCTGCTTGATGGGTTACACCACAGTTGTAACAGGGATTCATCCGAAGGGTCCGTGTTTTCACCGCTTCACCTGGTTGTCTGAGAGCTCTCTGAGAAAAAAAGAAGAAAAAAAAGAAAGCTCTGATGACAGCACCCGGACTTAGGTATCATCGCGTCAACCAGCGGATTCAAGTCTCGGATGGAAAACTGAACCGCTGGATTTCGGGGGACTCGCGCAAAAGACTGGGTCGACCCACAACAAGACTTGTTGTCATGTGGATCTTGATGCTTCCCCCGGAGCCTCCAAGACTCTTCTGACGTGTGTGCAGCGGCCGCTCGGTACATCGCTCATAAATCTACCCAACTTTAGGACCCAACCGTGACACCATTGCGAGCTAGGATCGACGAAATGCATGTCTCAGACTCGCTGCGGCTAGGGTCCCTACGTCAGCTGGAATGCGCGCCTGCCGCCTCTTTCGACGCCGGTTTCACGCATGTTCGATTCTACGGGGAGTTCCATCACCCCGGGTCGGCAAAGCCCGGCCTGTTCCATGAAGCAAGCGTCGTCGGTCTGGCGGCCCAGAAGAGATGCCTCTACTCAGGGAATGGAGGCCTGGTTTCAATGTTGAGACGCACGACAATTCGTCGTGAACTCGAAGAATCAGATCCCGGGACGTGAGAGTTACTCGGTGCTCATTGAGTCTGATCATTCGCTGCGAATACGGCCGCATCTGTTTTGTCAAATTGCCACACTTATTCTTGGTTCAACGGCTACAAATACCAGAAACCAACATCCGGGACTGCCTTGGCATACATTTGGCCCTGACTTGGATGCTACCAAAAGATAAGGTTGGGAACCTTTGTCCAAAACGCCCTGTCTGGCGTTGTGGATCATCGATGCTGTTGTTCTGCGTCATTCTAGTCTACCAGACTCCCACAGAACCTTATTCGTTCCAAAAGGGGGGGAAAAGAGGGGCTGAGACCTCTCGGATAATCATGCGTGAAGAGCAATTGCCTGCGGCTCAACCGGAGACAGTGCTTGGCCTTTCGGGAAGCGAGGGCGGGGACTTCGGATCTTGGTTGCCGACCGCGGAGACGGAGCGATTTCTCGCAAGAACACGCCACCAAGATGGGGACTGAACAGCACAATCTCACCACTACAGTCAACTATTATCTCGACCCGGAGGATGGCAGTTTACCCACCCCCGTCTATGTGGGGAGGTGAGGGTCCTCCTTTTTTCCACAGAGCCATCGTTGGACGCTGACGAGCCTATGAAATCAGCACACAAGTCACCAACGAACGCCTCATGATCCCGACGGCCGTGATAGTAACCGACGTTACGGGAGCCGAAGGGAGCTTCACGCTTGATAGCCACGGCTTCGCCTTTCACACTCACGCAAGTAACGAGAAGGAATTCCATGATGAGAAACTCCTCCGCGCGGAGTACTACCCAGAATGCGAGGAGCTACTCAGGAGCTTGTGCGCGCAACCCTTACTTGCCTTACTCGCTGCTCACTTCTGTGCGAACTGACTGAATTATGTATCCTGCAGCACCGGAGCGTCCCGCGTCGTAGCCTTTGACCACAAGGTCCGGCGCGGGCCGGCTCATTGGCACAAGCTGGGCGAGAACAACAGCGCATCGCGAGGCCCGCTTCGCAACGCACACGTGGACCAGTCGTATGATGGCGCGCTGATACGACTGCGGGAGGTCTTTTCTGCCGGGGAGGCGGAAGAATTGCAGAAGAGGCGATGGCAGATTATCAATGTGCGTTTTTATTCTCTCTCTTGTCACCCTCAAAGTGAAGTTGTGGTGGAAGGTTTGTGAGACATGACTGACGCGAGCTGGGGGTGATTGTAGGTCTGGCGGCCCATCAGGACGATCCGCAAGGACCCTCTTGCTGTCGCCGATGCAACGTCGGTAGCGGAGAGGGATCTGGTTGCTGCGTCTATCATCTACGCTAGTTGTGGGCGGCGCGTGGAGTCGTGGACGGTCAAGGCGAATCCGGAGCACAGGTGGTATTTCAAATATGCGATGCGGCCGGATGAGGTGGCGCTTATAAAGTGCTTTGATAGCGATGAAGCGGTTCCCGCTAGGAGGGTGCCGCATTGTGCGGTGGAGGATCCGGATGAGAGGGAGGCGGAGTGGCGGCAGAGTGTGGAGGTGAGGTGTATGTTGTTTTACTGAGTGTCGTTGTCAATGTACTTTCTTCTATTCACATTTGGTTCGAACTTGGTATGAAGATCTGAGCAGGAATGATACATGTTCCTTCATCTGCAGTATGCCGTTGGCGACACGGTGGTCCCGTTCAGTTCCGTTGGGCAAGGAGAATGTCTCGGCGGCATTTAGCAAGCAAACGCTTTTCACGTGAGAAGAAGCGACATCACCTGATCGACTTTGAGACTCAACCCAAGACTAGAAAGGACTAACGAGATCATGGTGACGAAGTGAAGAAAGAGAACTGAGATGACAGCAGTCTGGTGTCAAGTCTGCGATCTCTACCATACTTATCTGAGTTTTGCAGAGAAATCCGCACGTTTGAGAATCTCGACATGTGATAATCTATCTGGGTATGGACCGCCGGAAAAGCGGTGATGGGATGCAGTGTGTGACGACCGACCCCAAGGTTATAACCAAAAGAAATGGGGCGACCAGTGGACGGGTAGCGAGGTAGTAAAGCGTTCTCTAAGCGGCATCAGCGTTGTGTTTCTTCTAGCGTTTAGCGAAAGACCCAGGTTCAAATCCTGGCTCGTCCAAATCTTCTTTTTTTGCTGGCGGTCAAGGTGGTGGTGGTCGGCCCCTTTTAAGTTTGAAGAAAGGGGGTGACCATTGGCAAAAGCCAAAGGGCGGGTAGCGTAGTGGTAAAGCGTTCTCCAAGCGTCTTCAGCGTTGATTTGAGTTTCTCTCGAGCGTTTAGCGAAAGATCCGGGTTCGAGTCCCGACCCGCCCAATCCTCTCTTTTTTGCTGGTGGCTGGCGTTGTGGTGGCCCCCCCCTTTTTGCAAGCCACCGACGTGACTTGGCCCTCTTGAAGGGAAGAGAGTTTCCGGTGACCCCAGCTTCACACTCACACGTGCTGGTCGAGACGTCCTTGTTACAACGCGTCCTCCTATCTGCTTATATCTTTCCCCACGCCACGAAGACCTTCCTGTTTCCAAAGAAGTGAGGTGAATCTGCCACCGATGTCTCATTTTATGATAGATGATCCTTCCCTGCAGCCCATGTCTCCGTATATGCTATCCAATATGTATCCCATACCCTTCCTTATCCAATTGCCGCGAGTTACTTGACGGTTGCCCCTGACGATGCGTTGCCCTCGTCCACAACTCCATAATCCTAGGAAACGACCACCCCGACCCATCGGCTTGAAACCCCAAATCAAACATGTAGTACGCCGCCATGACCATAAGGCCCATTGGCACAGAAATCGCAAAATATAACCAGAACTGCTCCCCTCCAGGACCATATGGTTCCGACATGCTGAAGATGTATGAAACGAAAGCAAGGGGAATGAAGACCAGGCCAATGAAAGTCAACCCTCGAGATTTCTCTGCCGCGTGAAGCGATAACTGCTGCTCCCTGAAAGCCTGTCGGTTTCCCACAATACTGGCCAGGCCGGTAATCGAAGCGTTGATCCTTTCGGCTGACTGTTGAAGATAGATCAAGCGGTGGTACAACAGCCGGAAGTCGGCGGATACGTCCTTCCATGATGTGATGGTGCTTGGATCTGGGGGATCGAGGGACGAGCACGTTTGCAATAGGATGTCTTCCAGTTCCATTCGTGCCTTGTCGAGCCTCCGCTCGATGAACTGCATGTCGACCCAGTTGGATTCCACCGCGGAGAGATCACTTTTGGTTAGGTCCGAGTTCGATGGTCCTCTCATGAAGCGTTGGACTTCACGGAGATTCCTGTTGGTAGGGGTTAGTTGCATTTCTGATGGGCATTGTCGCCAGGGGTTAGAAAATGGAAAGGTAACCAACCGTCGGACGTAGTCGAAGGCTTGGGTGGAGTGGCTCGCGATGATCTTCTTGGCGAAGAAGGCAACATCATCAGGAGAGCTGATCCCGTCGACGAGGTTACTATGGGTGGTCATGTAGAATGCCAAGTCATCCGCGAGACACGTACGAGGCGGTCCTCGACGGGTTGCGGCTTGAGCGTCCATCGGAACGAAGTCTACGTATCCATCTGGATGGTAGCTATCGCTGAGACCCGACACGGGGGTGAGGTGTACGCCTGTGCCTGGGATGTTGTTTGCAGATGATTTCGATATTTGCGCTGGGGGATCACACATCACGACGCCTAATCCTCATCTCATTAGAGACATCCCCATGAGTCCATCCAAGAGTGGAAGCAACTCACAATCCCATCCACCGTGAGCCTCCCTTTCCCTGCTCCAAATCACCGCCTTCCGATGCAATATCCCAACCGAATCCAAGTTGCCTTTGACCCGTGTCCTAGCAATATCGCGATCTGTACGAGTGCTACCAACCTTCGAGTCTCCACTAGTGTCAGGTAGGCGTATCGGCTACGCTGGTGGCCATCTCTCGAGAGTACGTATCCAGATCAATCGGCTTGGCCAATGGAAAGGCCCTCCGTTTCAAGAAAAGATTTGCTCCGCTCTAGAGAAGATATCTGCTGCTGCAACTTAGCCGCCAGGGCTCTGCGATTCCAAAGCTTGACCAGCTCCGCCGTGTTGATCTGGGCTTCATAGCCTTCAGCGCCGCAGTGCCTTGGGTCGCTTGGATTCAAGCATTGACACTCGTCAAACGCGTGCATGTCCTTCAAGAGACGGAGTCTGGCCCAGTATGTGACGAGTTTGTAGTTGTAATTGGTAACGCGCCTCGTCTCGCCTTTCTCCTAATGCTTCGCGGCCTCAGCTTTGGCCTGCCGTAGCGTCCGGCCGTCATGGAACGTGATATATCGTGGGTGGACCGGTCTGTCCTGCTTGTCGCAAACCCTGCTGACCAAGCGGACGCCGGCATCGTCCACACGCTGTACTACCCCGATGAACGCTGGGGCGCCAGCCATTCGGGAATGGTCGCCATCGACGGGACCTGGGTTGATGGGCGGAAGATCTACACTCAAGATCCCAACTTCACACATGGCATCCTCCACGGCAAGTTCGGGAGGAGGGCCGGGATGAGAAACGGGCTGAGTGGTATCCCAACCTTTGCCATTGTCGAAGACTGCGTTCCAAAGGCCCACGCGAGCTCCCGAGCTCGCAGTCTTCGGTTCATCCCCGAATAGCTTCATGACTCCATTCTTCTTGTAGACCTCGTCAATCAAGTCATCGCACAAGTAGAGCTGGTCTTCCCGAAGTTCTGTATAGTCCCGATAAACGGTCCCAGATGCTGATTGAGGTTGCGAGTTGGATGCACCGGAATTGTTTTTCTGCATTGTTGTTGCTTGTTTGATGATCAGTACGCTTCCAAGGGTCAGAAAACCAAGTCAACGGTCGAAGGGAAGTCAGGGCAGTCTTTCGGGGATGTGGATGGGTGCGCGGAAATCTGTCTGTTGATGGCGAGTGGGAATGGGAGCCCTGACGTTGATCGGGGGTTACAAGATGACGGAGAAATTAGTGCTGGTTTGTGCCGGGGGGTTTGCTGCGCTTGCTTTTCATCGTTCTGCCAAGATGCTGCCGCTCAAGGTGGCAGGTACGGAAGGATAACATGGCAACTCCAGAGAAACTACGAGGCGACCCGGCCCCATTGTAAGCTCGGAACCAACCCTTCGGCAAGAGCAGTATTCCCAACCAATTGTCAACTGACAACCACAATGGATAGAGGGCAAATATGCATAATATTAAAAAGTAAGGTACAACACCATCCCAAGAACATCAAGTGAAGCGGCACCGACCTCAGTTCACACCGCCGTGCCTCAACATCGCTCCTCGATCCACACTGTATACAAGATACCCACCTCAGGGGTAAATCTCAGGGGTACAAACAAACCCATCACACACACACACACACACACACCAAGCCACGCAGAACACTCATCCACACCTCCAACTACTCTCACTATTAACATCCCCCCCTCGTACACCGCCCTCTGCGGCCACGGACAAATCGGCCTCGTCCTATACGTCGTAAAATCCGCATTAAACGCCGACGCCACCACCCTATCCACTGGCCTCTCATTCTCCACCCACTCCTGCAGCGCCACCAACGCATCATACCGACTATCATTCAGATGCCCCGGCACCGACCACCCCTCACCCACGGCCGGCAATCCCACCCCCAGCGTCGGAAGCAACCTCAACGCCGAGGCCGCGCCGGGGGCGCCAAAGTTCCAGGGGGCGTTGTACCTATTGCTGAAGAAGCAGTGTTGCATGCCCGGGACTTCGAAATAGCGGAACCACGAGCGGATGCTGGAGACGTCGGTGCGCATCGCGGCGATGGTCTGGTTGTAGTAGTAGAGGGATGTACGTGGGGAGATGACGCCGTCGGCGAGGCCGTGGTACATGAGGATCTTGCCGCCCTTCTTGCCCGGGCGGGTGCGGAAGGAGGAGATGTCGAACTTGTTGGCGGTGGCTTGGCCCGGGTTAACGCGCTCGGAGTCGAGGACGGTCTGGTCAGTGTATTGCTGCCAGGTGTAGCGAGAGTTGTTGTAGATCCAGTATCGCTCGTAGTCGAAGTCGAAGCCGGTGAGCGTGGAGTCGGCGCCGAAGTAGATGGACCATTGGTCTTCAGAGGTGCGGCTGAAGCCGTTGTAGACGAAGCGGCCGTTGGCGATGTAGTCGCCCCAGATCTTTTGGGCGACCTGGGCTTGCTCGGCGGTGATGCAGGTTAAGGGGTTGGAGCAGACGATGGTGTTGATGTTGAAGTTGCATTGGTCGGGTTGGCTGACAATGTTGTCTGTTACGCCGTCCTGGGGGTCACATTGGCGAAGGACTTCGGCGGCGATGATGGACATTTGCTGGGCGCGAAGCTTGCCGTTGGTGGTACTGAGTTGGTCGACGGCGATCTTGGAGATCCAGGGCATCAAGTGGACCGTATCCCAGGCTGCGGCCCCGATGATGGCGCCATCAAAGGTGTTGGCATCGTATTGGATTTCCCGGAGTCCTTGCCTTCCTCCGGTAGAGCATCCGGCGTAGTAGGAATACGTCAGGGGCCTGCCGTAATACTGGGTGATCAATAACTTGCTGACGACAACAGAGCCGTGAAGAGCCCGGTAGCCCCAGTCATAGAGGCTTGCAGGCGTCGCCCAAGACAGGTCAGAACCGGCCGAGTTGTGGCCGTTGTCTGTCGACACAGTGGCAAAACCGTAGTGTGGACCCTGTCCCATATCCGCCCAGTTGATGCCTCCGGCAAACGACGCGCTACCCACGGTAAGAATCTTGCGGTTCCAGTTGGCTGCCGTTGGAAGGAACATGCCGAAGCGGTAGCTGGACGCCGGCTTGATCGGGACATCGGTTGTGTTGGAAACCCGAACAGTGACAGCACACAGAGCAGGCAGCACGTCGATAGCATTGGGGAACCCAAGGTTACCTGCCTCGCGGTAGCTGCCGCCCTGCGATACCGAGACGGCTCTCTCGATGGTGACGGTCACGCCAGGCAGGCTGACGACCCCCGCGAAGGAGCTGGTGGCGCATCGCAGGGACTGCCGACGATGATGAGAGTCATCCGTTGGTGCAGCACTAGCCCAGGATAAAAGCTGCACCAGGGCGACGACGGTCAACAACACCAGCATGATGGCGGTTTTCGTGACTTCGGAATCCTTTGCCGGTGCCTGTTCCAGTTCCTGGTCCTCGGGACATGGCCGATATTGCTTTAGATGAAGGGCGCATTTAATAGACGTCGACCCGACTACCCCTGAGCCATCCCTTTCGCTGTCATCATCGCGCCCCCGTGAGCGTTGGCGGGCATGGGCATCGCGCCCCTTTCGGACTGCGACCTCTGCAGCGGCGCGTGAATGGCTGTTCCATGGCGGCGCGGCGTGATGACGGCC